TTCAACTCAAAGTTAATTAAATCTGAAGCATACCTTCTTGGCCAATGGAATTCGGATTCCCACGAAGAACAGAGTCCTGGCAGCAACCCAACATATACTTACCTTGTTGTAAGATTCATTGAGCTCAGTAAGCCTTACCTCATGGGACTGGGCAAACCTCAGAGAAGCTGTGATCCCTGGAGAGTCTACGGTCAAATGAGCAAGACACATGTGGTGCAATGGGCTATTGTTGTGCACTGTGATGTATCTCACCACCAGTCTCCCTCGTTGTCTTGGACACCAACCTGTAAAAGAAGAGATCATCTCAAGCCATGGAATCTCATGAGTGTAGAAGATTCCATAGAGAACTCCATGTCATAACCCCCACGCCAACGACTGCCCAGATGAGGTCAGAAGCCATCTTGAGACATAGTTTTCTGACATCTGAAGGGATTTCTATGACAAATAATGGATCATTTGTTGAATCCAGTGCTGCTGTCATAATGACCTACCCCACCAAAAAGACGTGATTCGAGGTGAGATTGTCTTGGCCTCTCAGTGAAATATGGAACCTTAAAAGAGCAGAATACAACTGTCACATGGCTAGATTGCAGACAGTGAACATCCCCAAATGTCTACAGCATGCACAGTACAAAGGGAACAACAGGGAGGTGGTCACCTGTACTTGATGCATAGATCCTATCCAGAGAAGGCCTTCTTCGTGTCCTTGTCCCAAGAGAAACATGGACCCTAAACTAAACAGAAGACAGCTCTGTCAATGGTAACACTCAATGGAGAGATGGTCAACCCCTATTTGACAGCCACTCACCAAGTTCTTGCTCTCTTGATTCATGGGTCCTCATCACTTCTGCTTCTCCGAACATGATGTTTTGGCCAAAGGAAGTTGGATTCCCACCAAGAACAGAATCCTGGCAGCAACCCAAAATATACTTACCTTCCTGTAAGATCCATTGAGCTCAGTGGGCATTACCTGCATGGGAATGGGCAAACCTCAGAGAGGCTGCGATCCCTGGGAGAGTCTAAGGGCAAATGAGCCAGACGCATATGGTGGGCTGCAATATGACCTAAGAGGATTAGAACCATTGTGAGGTGGGAGCTTCATGATTGGTTCGCCTTCATTGTGACAGAAGAAAGGAGGTGGGAAGTATCAAGAAGGAGCCATTTGGTGGTCACCATATATGGTCAAATGATTGGAAAACCAAGCAGGCTGTGATGAGTTTAATTCCAAGTTAATTAAACCTGTATCAAACCCTTTCAAGCCATGCCCAGTTTTTATTCTTTCATTTTTCAGCTATAGAGGGAGATTGAAAGAGAGATAAGGGGAGAGTGGTCCTTCTTTCCGTGAAATTCAGGTTTTTTAAAAATTTCCAAACAGATTTTATAAATTAAAGCAGTGGTTCCCAGCTGTGGGTCCCCAGGTGTTCTTGGACTACAACTCCCAGAAATCCTGGCCAGCACAACTCATGGGGAAGACTTCTGGGAACTGCAGTCCAAGAACACCTTGGAGACCCAGGGTTGGGAGCCATTAAAATGATCAGATGGAAAATCCCATTTTGAAGGCGGATAGATGACTCAGTGATCTTTAGAGTCCCTTCCAAGTCTCCTGTGATTCTTTGATTAGCTGAGAACTAATTAAGTTCTGCTAGATAGTTCAGTGGTTTAGGTCTCTGTTTGCGGAGCCAGAGGTTGGGAGGTTGATGTTAAGACTGATGTTGTGAATATAATCATTTGGCGGACTCCCAAATCATACAGGGTTAGGTTGTCCACTATGACAAAGATGGGCAAGTTTGGTCCTTCCATGTATTTTGGACTTCCGTTCCCAGAAGCTCCAGCCAGCATAGCCAAGGATAATGGGAGTTGTGTTCCAAAACATTCTTGTCCAAAATGCTCCCGTGCAAGGTAGGCCCACACTGATAATTTCCACTATAAATGGGAGACTTTTGAGGATGTTCTTGAGAGTGGCATGTACCAATTTATCACACCAAAGACAATGGCACATTCTTACAAAAAATGTTCTTCCACTGGAATGGTCCAGTGATGGTTTAACTTTTATATGTGGCTGAAGCATCATCATCATTATTTATTGAAATATTTTTAGCCCACCTTTCTCCTTGAAAAAGGACCCGAGGCGGGCTTGAAAACAATAAAAGACAATAATTTAAAGTTGAAAACAATGAGTATACAATGGTGGTTAACATCATTCAAAGACCATATCTGAAACAATGAACAATGAAAAAGGAGGCATCTTACAACATTAACAGGCAATGTTAAGGCAAAGATCAATAAGTATGCGTAAAAAAGTCACTCTGAGAAATGGAAAACAGAAGTAGCACAAAAAATCCAGTCCAAACAATAATGTATTTTAAAAATTATCTAAAAATCACACACCAGTAGCTGGTTTACTGAGGGAAGGCTTGCCTGACGAGAAAGGTCTTTGCCGGCTTGCAGAAGGAGAGCAAAGATGGAGCCAGGCTGGCCTCCAGTGGGAGGGAGTTCCAAAGTCTGGGAGCAACCACAGAGAAGGCTCTTTCCTGTGTCTCCATCAGGCGCACCCGGAAAGGGGGCAGAGCCAAGAGAAAGGCCTCGCCTGATGATCTTAACACCCGGGCAAGGTAATCAAGAGAGAGACAGTCCTTTATTGGGCCCAGGCCGTTTAGGGCTTTATAGGTTAAAACCCACACTTTAAATTGTGCCTGGTGACTGATCGGCAGCAGGTGGAGCTGCTGTAACAAGAGGGTTACATGATCCCTGTAACCAGCCCCAGTCAGGAATCTGGCTGCTGCGTTTTGGACCCACTAAAGTTTCCTGACACTTTCCATGGGTAGCCCCACAAAGAGTCCATTACAGTAATCAAGCTGGGAAGTAACTAGGGCGTGTATCACAGTGGCCAGATCGGGGCTGTCATGGCTGGCACACTAGTTTTAATTGTGCAAAGACACTCCTGGCTACTGCCGAGACTTGGGCATCCAAGCTCAGGGATGAATCCAGGAGCACCTGGGTGGTTCTTTGATATTATTTTTTGGTTAGGGGTTCAGGGCTTTGAGTGGTTTTTGATCAGGATGTGCACCATCCAGAAGAGTGGACTTCCACTCGATGGGTGGCAGAGAAATGTAATCAATGGAGGGAAGGAGGACGGGATCAAGAGATAGGTGATGATCAACATAATCTGCTCGGTCCACTATGAATATGATTAGGGATGGGATTTGAACTACAAGTCCTATGGTTCCCCGCTCTGGGAGTTCTCTCTGACTGACACTCGCCTTAATATTGTCTGCTGTCAAGTCATTTTTGACATATGGCGACCCTTTGCAGGACTTTCTAGACAAAAAATACCTAGAAGTGGCTTCCAATCCTCTTCCTCTAGGGGGAGCTCTGGGACTGTGCCGCTTGCCCAAGGCCACCCAGGCTGGCTCTTCCCCCAGGAGGCACAATGAGAAGAATCACTGACAGATACACAACTCACTGAGCTTTCCAGTCAGCTGGCAGACATCCAAATGGGATTCATATGGGAGAAAAACCCTAAACTGGGAGGTCTAACTCCTACCAAACTTCTTGTTCCTGCCCTAGGTGGGAGCCTTCTTTCCAAACAGGAAGCTAGGCCTAGCTAGGCCTTCCAGTCTAGGCCTTTCCTTCCAGGTGAGCCACATTTAGGTGACTGACACACAAGTTGCAATCCGTTAGAACTTCCAGAATGAGGAATATTGGGGTTTGTGGTTCAAAAAAATCCAAAACTCCCACCCATAGATGCGATTATGGCAAAGGAATAATATGGGTCTGGAACGCAAGTGTCTCTTTCAAAAATCAGTACCCAATGGGGATGCCCCACAGCTCTTGTCAGTAAGGGATCAGGTGTAACCTTCCACTTGCTTTCTCACCTTTCAATGCATCCTGGTCCAGCTGCTTCTTTGTCAAACACTGTTAATCCTTCTCTTAGATCAGATACACCGTAATCCTCCTTTGTGAGTGGAAATACAATAGGCCTCCTCTATCAAGCAGGCTGTAATCCTGCCCTATCAGACATGCTCATTGCAAACATCCTGTGCTTTTCAATGTGATTTCTTCTCGCTAATCCTTTCCCATCATCAGAGCAAGAGCTAACTTGAAATTCAAGGGCACGATTCTCCTAGGAACACAAAATTCAAGGGCACGATTCTCTTCTGAACACTGGTGTAAACCGGCTTGCATTAAGAACTCTGGCAAAGTCTTATGGGGTTCGTCAGAATGTTCACATCCTCTTTTTGAAAAGCATGTCAGACGCTCACAATTTGGGAATTAATTTTTATGAGATTCTTCTGGTAAGGGGCTCTTTACTGATGCACCTCTGCCTTTTGTTTCTTCGCTCCCGTTGTGCTTCCGGTGAGAATGAGTTCAGTTTTGCCAAGCACAAGCAGCAAACGCACAACTGTCAGGCATACAGGAAGCTAAACCCTGTGCCTGCCCCTGAGTTCTGGATGGGGCTCAGCAAGACAGCCATTAAAATCTCAGCTCACCTCTGTTAAGTTACCAAGAACCAATGTCATCTCGTTGTCTGTTCTACTGTAGGCATCCTTCAATCTCAAGAGACTATGGTAAGAAAAAAAATCCTCTCCAGAGCACAATGCCTGGGTAAAATAATATGGAGGATAGACTGTTACCCAAGCAGCAAATCCCCCCTCTCCACCTCACTGAAATAGTCCAATGGAAAGGCAAGAGCCAATACAACTGGTTCCAGCGACGTCGCAGGAGTTGCCAGAACGACACGAACTGCCTCTGGGATTCCGGCTCTGGATTTTGCCTCGAGGTTAACTCCTGAAGCCTTTTCCATCAGTGGATATAGCCACAAGGCAATGGAGGTTTGAAATCTGAGTTTTCCTTCTCCTAGCTGGGCTGCCTTCCAAGACTGATGAGCCCCACCTACTCGGGTGTCAGTTCTAGCGTTCTTTGTCACGTGTGTCTTTTGATATTTGGTGACTCACTTGGGACTGATTTTTGCCATAGTCATGAAATTCCTCTAGCATCTCTATTTTGTTTTGATTCATCATGCTTTGATTCCAGACTTCTTGAAATTTCCTCAACATGTATTCTTACTTAGATGTATTTGTCTTCTAGTTGGGCATGACCTAAACTGGTCTGGTTCCTGAATCTGAACCATAATTTATAAGACCTGGACATCTGCCCCAGAGGACCACCCCGATGTCACCACTGCCTTGGCAGTGAACCAGTCCTTTGATGCTCCATTTGTTCAAGCAAGATATTAGTCCTTCTCATGTCCCTGTGTATGCAGAAGATGAGAAGGTACCCACTTCTTTCCAGACTGGCCTATGTGTTGGAGTTTTGTCTTTAACAACTTTGCATGCTGCCTGTAGAAGCTGTGGCCGGGAGGGACTTTTCTGGGCTAGGGTGATTGCCAACCTACCCAGCATTAACCAATAGTTTCGTCCTGCGTCTGATTCAAAGATGTCCTCGCCACCCTGCTGATTATTTGTGTCCCTCTCTAGAGTCTGTGGAAGTCTGTTCAGAAAGGCAGCGACGCTTTTCCATTGGCTGTTTGATCTGACCAATTGTAAGCAACAATACCTTTATTCTTTCTCCTACAAATGTCTCAGAGTGCGCTATTGAGACCGGAAGTGCCAGTTGATGAGAAAAAGGCATGGGCTCATGGGGAGAATTTGAAGCTTTGCCAGTTGATGAGAAAAAGGGGTGGGCTCATCGAGAGAATTTGACGCTCTTCTGCTCTGTGAACCAACAGCTAGGGGAATGTAACAACAACAACAAAACAGCTCAACATTCTGCAACACTCAGTGCTCGGCTTCCCGTCAAAGGGATCACCGCTTTCCTGAGAGATGCACAAGACCAGCTATGTCGGATTAGCTCCACCTCCGCCATGCCTTCTGCACTCTGCTGTCGATATCCTAATATACTTCTCATTATGCCTTGTTATAGGAAAATTGAGTTTCCGTTGCAATCTGCAGGGCTGACTTATTAGCAGGAGTCATGGCACTGCAGAAACCATCACTGTAGCCCTGGCCCCTCACCAATCAGGAAGCTCCAGATGGCATTTATCAAGATCCTGACCATAAATCTCTGCAGCAGAACCCAAAGAAGAGAAAGGAAGGCGTAATTGCTCATTAGTACCACACAGGCCTTTGCCTTGTGCTTAAAAATTAGAATGGCACAGGCTGGCATTTATTTTCATTAACTGATCATTCTTTTTTTAAGTGGAGAAACTGCTCAGTGTTCTCTGTGGTGTCCTTGTTACCATCC